GGGGGGGGAAGGAATCTATCCGCAAGAGATGGAGCAAGCGATACCCGTGTGTAGTCCCCGACCACGCGAGCGCGAGCCCCATCGTACTCCATCCTCCAGACTTCCACCCTCCGTCTGAACACACGCACACCGGCCGTGTTCAACAATCCACTTCCACGCACGTCTCATCTAGTCATAGCCATCGCCGCGTTCGCTGGCCTCGTCATCGGTACTTTCACCAACGATCGTGGGGGTAGCCGAATCGTGTGAGGAAGTGGGCTAGTCGCCGTCCTTTCCCACGAGGCGGTACTGTGTGCTGGGCCCCATCATGTCGGTCACCAAGCTGTATGCATGCTTGGCAAAGTCGACGGCCAAACTCTTCTGGCCGTCCGAATCCTCTGCCTTGTCCGGGGTCTCCAGCCAAACGTCCAGAAAGGCATAAGCCCAGGGTCTCAGGTACACGAGGGGCACCTGCGGGTCGACGGCGCGAAAGCCATACACCATGGCTCTGAGGTCCGAAAGTCCCCCATCAAACGTGAAGTCTTTAGTAACGCTGGCCATGAACTCGGGGTGCTGTGCCTAAAATGCCCGAAGGATGGTATTAGCTGCGCGTTGCGCCCGAGACGAATTGGAGAGCTGGTGCTAAGGTAGTACGCACAGTAAAGGCCTCCCATGCTTCGACAAGCACCTCGTCGGTGAGCTGAACGTCACCGTTTTCGACAAGGGCCCAGAGAAGGTTCGGGTCGGCCACCCCATCGCCCGACTGCTCACCCACCTCCTCGGGAGTTTCTTCAGCCATATCTTCGTCCGTGTCTCTGTCCATCTCTTTGTCTGTCTCCTCGGGTACTGCAGCGGGCTGGCGGCCATGCCCTAGGACGAGCTCCTCGACGGGCTCCTCGACGGGCTCCTCGACGGGCTCTTCAACGGGCTCCTTAGCTAGCCTCTCAGCGAGCTCGTTAGCAGGCTTGGCAGCCCTACTGCCCCTGTTTAAGCCCCCGGCGGCCATGCCCACCTCTACACCGGCTATAGGATGGTGGTCATCGGTCGAGGCCCGCGCAAGCGTGTAACGAGGGGTAGCATGTCCATGCTGGAGTGGCTGGGGCAATTGGGACGTCTGTCGCGGCCGGGAATCTTCGATTGCCAGGTTTGAAAAGGCTAGGACAACGGCATCGGCCATAAACTGAGGGCCGCAATTTTTCCAAGGCTCCAAAAAGTCATCCCGATAAGGCGGAAGGTAATATATGTCCCCCATCGAAGCTTTATTTGCGAAGCGGTAAAGCATCCCACCCTGATCCGGTGCGGCGAGGATATAGAAGTATGGGAAACTTCTCGTTGCGGCAACGGTGCGGATAACAACGACTGGGTACATGGGTAGACCCCCAGCCGGCGTGACAACAGGATAAGCACGTGGGTTATGGGCAAGACCCAAGTCCAAGAGATATCGAGACGTCGTCGATCTAAGGTGCGTGATCCATTGAGGCGTTGTCGACCTGGCCGGGATTAGTTCGACAAGTTGATCTTTTGGAAACCAATAGCCAACGAGCAAGCCTTTCGAAGCTCGCACTTCGCCTGGGCTAGTATCCGGGCTGGCTATGTTGGCGCACAGGGTGGCGGCGTCGGGGGCTGCGAAATCTGTCGGGCCCTTCTTCACCACGCGCTCCCGTAGCTCTGGACTCGCCTCACGGTAGGTTGTAAATGAGACAAAGCAAGGATGCTGAATTCCCACGATGGCGGCGTCCAGCTGAACCAAGCTTACGGGCTCTTCGATGCGGGCGGCATGGCGGTTGCAGAAGGCAATGTCGAAGTCGGTGGCAGGGACCCGCTACACGGATGGTTCGTTCGAGTTAGATAGCTACATCAGGAGGAGGAGATGGCGCTGCGAAGTTGGGGCTGTCTTACCGGGCTAGGACGCATGCTGGGCGCTGATTATGCACATGGGCGTGACAACGTGGTGGCGGTGGTGACGGAGCACAAGATGGGATAAAAGCGCCATTGCCCGAGGATGAGGTTGATATAGATCTTTCCCGGTCTGGAATCGTGGGCAGTGATTCGAATTGTGAAGGCGGGAAGCCCTTGTTTTTTTAGAGGGAGAAATTGGGATAAAAAGAGGAAAACTTGCGGCCTTGGCAATTTTAATCCCTTGGACCTGTCAGAATGCCAGACCGCAAAGGCAATTCGGACGCTCTGGAAGCTGCCCGCCGTGCTGTGCCTGTGCCGCCTTCAAGCAAGAATTGAGTAAGTGCCTGGGCAACACTGGTGATTGGACGGCTTTGGACGAAAATGGAAGGAGCAAGGGAAGAAGGCACCCCAAGCCACAGGTGTCAAGCCACAGCCCGACGACTTACATGGGGCGGGCACCTCGACGGTTCGGCCTATTTTTTTTTATACAGAGGACAAGGAAAAAAAACAATCACACGCAAGGAAACAGCAGGAAGGCCGTCGATGGGAGTGCTCGTCGCACAGCCCTCGGCCTAGCACAAAACACCTCTCCATCCCAGCAAATTACCGCCTCTGCACTTGTCCTCCCTGGCCCAAACTCCTGTGTCACGTCTTCTGCCCATCACTTTCCCATCACCGTCCCTTTGCTCTCAAGTCCGCCCACTCTACTCTAGACGAGCCCCATATCCTGCTGCTAGATCGACCCATGGCCGGCGAGGGCTGTAAAATGGCGGGCAGAGGTAGGAAGAAGGCGGCTCGCCACCTCGAGCTCCATGATCACGCATCCCACGTTGCCGAGCACCTCCAGTCCGATCACTATCCCGTCAGCGACCCGACTGTTGCTACTGCTTTATTCCATGAGCCCCAGTCGGCCGCCACGACGACATCGGCCATCCGCGGCAAAGCGGCTGTCCGGTCCTCGCAGAGCCCCAACGGAACCATGCCTGCCTTGAGCCTGGAGTCCACATCGACGCCGTCGGCCCTTGGCCTTGTCCAGATGTTCGGCAAGGAGACGGATTCGGTCCATGTCGTTACCATCACGGTCGCGGCCGACGGAATCACCGCCCTCACCACCGCCGCACCCACCGCCACCGGCTTGCCTGGCGCTGCCACGACTGACCATGACGCTCAGGAGTCGCGGGCTGCCACTCAGGACCACCAGGAGAAGCCCAGCGACGACGCCTGGAAGGCCGCCGTCATCATCGTCTGCACGCTGACGGCCCTCTCGGTCGCCGTCTTCTTCATCTTCCGTCTCTGGAAGAAGAGGCAGTCGCGCCAGAAGGCCGGGGCCCAGCGCATCGACGACGACAACGAGCGCGACGTGGCGACGAGGCCGAGGGTCAGGGCCAACAGCTACGCCACCCGCCCTCCCACCCCCTTTCGCCCTTCCGGGTCTGCTGCCGGCACCGACAGCCTCAAGGGGCCTAGCTCTGACCCCAGCTTCTGGAGCCCGCAGCGAAACCATCCCAACTCGCACGTCTTTCCGGACTTCCCGCCGCCCACGGGCCTCCCGCGCTCTCTGAGCACGCATGGCCGGCCACCGCCGGAGGCTTTCGGTGCAACCAGCGCCACGGGCAACATGAGCTACACCGATGCGCTGCGGACAGGACAGGAATGCTCAGCCGCCCAGACCCAGTCTACCATCGTGGCCTCGGACGAGGGGATGTCGCCGTATGCCCCAGGGCAGCACAAGATTCACGACGACGCCTTCACCACACAGCAAGCCCAAGAGCGCGCCGCCACCTCCTGCTCGAGCGTTGCCAATGACGCGAGCATCGTCACCAGCGTGGCCGCCGCCGACGAGTCGTCCTTCTTCCCCTACAACGACCAGGGCTTCTACGTCTCGCCCGTGCAGAAGCGCTTCCCGCAGTCCCGGGTCGTCGATGTCCAGCAGCAGCAGCAGTCCTCCCAGCACGCCCCGCAGGGCTCTACCAACACCGTCGCCACCTACACGACGGCGCCGGCCGGCAACTCCCTCGCCGCCTGCCACGGCCTGAAGCGCCACAGCGTGGGCGACGATGGCATCCCCGCAGTCGCCGCCGGTCCCGGCCCGTTCGTGTTCCACGGCGGCGACCAAGATGCCACCGCCGACGCCGACGCCGACGCCAGCGACGATGACAAGGCAGAGGCAGAGGTGCAGTCCCAACCGCCGGCCAAGAAGCCCCGCCTCGAGGGCGAGGCCGGCCCCGACCACCAGGACGTGAGCGGCAAGAGCCCGTCCGCCCTCTCGCACCACGGCTCCGTCAGCTCGCGCGCCCCCACGCCCTGCCCGGGCTGCTTCGTCCCCGGCGGCAACAGCAGCAGCCCGGACTCACCCCGCGCCCCGGCTGTTCCCTCGGGCCGCATCGGCACGCCCGTCCACGCGAGGGCGAGGCCCGCGACCACGACAGGCGCCTCCATGCCCGCGACGCCTGTCAGCCGTCCCGGCACGCCCGTCCCTCACGCTCGCGTCTGCTCCTTCTAGGGGCTAGTGGTTGTTTCTTTGGAAGAGTCCTTTGTTCTCCCATTGAGGGTTTATCGCTGGATTGTTGGTGGACAAGCAAAGGAAGGGGGGCAATTGTTTCTTTCTTTGGTTATCTGCTTCGTTGGGCATTCTCAAATCCTCTTGGAATTGCGCGAAGCCATAGTGAGAAAGACACGCCCCTTATCCCTCTTCCCTTTTTCTTTCTTTTCCTTTACCAATCCTCCCTCCCTCTTCTTCGACTTTGCCCTTCTCCCGTTAGTGGAGATGGGAGAAGGGAAGAGGGCGATTGGTAACTTGTAAGAGTATGCAGGGGCATTCTCGGCTTTGTTTTGGACGGAAAGGAAATGATCGCTTTTCGGAGAAGGGTGGCCGAGCCGTTGGGCCGCTGTTTGTCGCAAGGACGAGCGACCACGCCGGGCTGACTTACCTTCCGCCCCCCTAGTCCTAAAGACCTTTTTTCGTGCTGAAAGCTACCCAGATAGATAAGCAGACAGACAGCTCAGCGGCAACGTTTCCGAAATCTTCGTGGGCAGAATTCAAGCTGGTTAAACGTGCCTGTTTATTAGAGGTCCTTGGTTATTAGCTAGGCGAACCACCTACGCCCATAGCAGAGAACAAACCCAGAAATCTTGTCTAATATTTATCCACGCCCGCTCGCTATATGCCTACATCAGCTTGCCTGCCAGAAATACCGCCAAGTCCCTTCTTCCACCCATCTACTCCACACACTTTCATCTCTGCAGAGGCCATAAGAGAACCCATCGTTCACACTACAGCTCGTCCACGACATGCGTATTCTCAGGCGGCGGCGCCACCGCCTCCTCTCCCTCCAGCGTCCGACTCTTGGGGTTCTTCTCCGCCTTGGCTGCGCCGTTGCTGGCCTCCTCGATCGGGGGCAGGCCCTTGCGCCTGCGGTCTAGGGCAGCAATCTCGTTGTCGTAGACGGACCACTCGGGCACCTGCCTGCGCGCGCGGTCGAGCTTGGGCTCCTTTGTCTGCGGATTGTTGCAGAGATCGATCGTCTTGGCGGCCGACTGGGACTCGTCGCTGCACCACGTCTCGCACCACAGCCACTCCTGTGGCAGGCTGTGGATGGGGATGGAGAACTGCATGTGGTTCGGCAGGTCCTGGTCAAGGTTGGATAGCGACTGCGGGTCGGCCGAGAGCGAGTGGTACGTCTGCCGCAGCCGGTCGCCCGCAGCGAGCTCGCGGAACCGGCGCAGGTCGACGACATAGAGCGCCGAGATGTGGTAGGGCAGGCCCTTGAGGTAGCGCTCCCAGTAGCCCTGCTTCCAGAAGCGGAACCCTTCCATCTCGGTGCGTGAGTCGCACATGGGCGTGAAGCCGTAGGGCGCGCCCTGCAGGTCAAGCGTTACCAGCTCGTACATGTCGGCCCGCACCACCTGGTCCGCGTCCACAAAGATGACCTTGTCGAGCGAGAGCGGGAAGAGCACGTCGAGGAACAGGATCTTGTAGCCCCAAATCTCGCGCTGCTTCTCCTTTTGCTGCCTCAGCCAGTGCGGCCACTTGTACGTCACCATCTCGTACTGGAACCCGTACTCGGCCGCCATGTGCGGGATGAAGTCCTTGAACGATGGCGACAGGAACTGCTCAATGAACCAGAACTTGACCGTATGCTTTGTGTGCCGCATCACGCTGACCATCATGATGTTGAGCATGCGCTCGTACAGGTGCCCGCTGGCCACAGAGAAGATGTTGATCTCGGCCTGCTCCGACCTGGTCACCACCTTCTGCTTGTCCTTACCTCCGCCTAGAAGGCTTTCGGCAAACTTGAGTCCCTTGTTGACAAACTCCATCGCTGCGCCAGCGCCAGTCGAGGCTGCCGCAGCTTTGCTGTCCTCGAGCACATCCAGGTCCTCCATGCCCGTGTTCCGCCTCAGGCGCGGGTACAGAGTCGTGCCGAGGAAGTCCAGAACCGCCGTCTCGGCCGACTCGTCACCCGCAATGGGGGCGAAGCCGTGTGCGCCGATACTCTCCAGGTAGAACAGCTCCGAGCTACGACCCTCCTCGATCTGAATCTTGTACAGGCCGGGGTTGGCCTTGAACTGGAAAAAGCCCAGGTTGTCCATAATGAGCGTGTCAGCCAGGTGCGCGTTGGACTCGGTGCCCAGCACCAGCTGCACGCCCCGCACCGAGCTCCCTTTGGGATCGCGGGCATGGCCCTCGATGAGAATGTGCTCGAGCTCGTAGAGCGCCTTGACGTCGCTGCCGATAGTGCTGAGTTTGATGTTGTCCGGGTCGTGAATCGACACTTTGGGGGCGACGAGCCACGCCGGCGGCACATCCATGCCCAAGTTCAGCAGCGCTTCCGACGGCAGGCCCTTGAACAGAGCGGTCGGCGCTTCCAGCTTGCCTGACTTGTCGAACTTGGGAGTGGATTCCATGACGAATCGGTAGAACCGCTTGACAGGAAGCTCCTCGAGCTTGTCTTTGGGGTTCAGGAACACCTTGAGATGAACTCCCTCCAGCTCCGACAGGACCTTGAGCAGCGGCGCCCACTTCTGGCCGAGCTCGCTGGCAGGGTCAATGATGGCGGTGAAGAAGATTGTGGCCTTGGCTGGGTCGCCAACCTCGAAAGCTGTATAAGCCGAATTCCAAATGCTAAAGGACGATATTCTCAGCATGGACGGGGTCTCGAACGCGCCGTCCGGTACATCCGAGATGGTGGACAGCGCCGTGAGCGATGTGAGCTTGGCGGCGGCGACCGGGTCTGTTAGTTTATCCTCAAGGCCAAGTTCCTCAAGCGCCTTGAAGACGGGCAAGATCCTGTTGCTCTGCTCGAAATCCAACAGCGTTTTGAAATCATCCTCTCCGAACTCAGCTGCCGACGCAATGGGGCCGACCATACGGCCGTTCAGCAGCAGCATCGACTCAGTCGGCTGGATCGCCGCCGCCTTTTGGAACCTCTCGAGCGCAACCGCGTACTCGAGACCGTTGTTTATCTGCGGGCTATTTGCGACTTCGTCCAGGATGGCCGCAAGGGCGCCCTCGGAGTCGGCGGCCAACAGCTCCTGCATCTTCCCCTTCAGATTGCTGTTGATGTTGTGGGAGGTCCTCCAAACGGGGTTGTGCACAATGTCAAGGCGCACGCCAGGGTTGCTGGCGCGGAAGCGGAGGGCCGAAAGGAGCAGCTCCCGGCCGTCTTTGCCTTCCAGGTCCGAGACGACAGTCAACACTGCCCAAGTGTCTTTGGCAGCATCCTGTTCCGCATCGACGACGACAGCACGGCTGAACAGATCATCATGCTCAGAGTAGATCTTGTTGACGTCGAGAATCGTCAGAGACTTGCCGCCCTCTGGGAAGATGAAGCGGTTGCGTCGGGCTGCTGCGTTCTCGAGGAAGAGGCTGGGCACCCAGGTCTCGGAGCTGATCATCTGGTAGTAAACGCCCTGCTGCACCGACCTGAGATCGCCCATGACACGGTTACTCATGGCGTTCATCCAGTTGCCCTCGGAATCGCGAGGGATAGCAAAGCCGTTGACGAAAAGGGGCGGCACAACCGAGTTAGCGCCCAGTCGGTTGGCCCACTTGCCCGCGAATGCGACCTGGGATGCATAAGCCTCCGATGCGAGAACTTGGTCGAGCGTGAGGGCCTCCGCGTCTGAGCGCAGGGAGCGGTCCTGGATGGCGGCATCAAACGCCTTTTGGTCCGGGGCACCGGCCGCGCCGGCCTCAACCATGGCCTCGACGTACGAGATCAAAGACGCCAGGCCGTAGGATTGAAGTAGGTGATATGCCACCTTGGCCTGCTGCACTGACTCAGGGGTGGGCGTGAGCGGCACCAGACCGAAGCGGATGGGAATGCGCTGCTTGACAAAGTTGAGGATTTTTGATACGACCAGCGTCATGTCGGCCTTCTGGGCGAGATCGACAGGCAAGACGATGTTATGGATATCCTTGCGGCAAGGAGGCAGCTGTCCGGGCATGCCGCCCGAGATCAAAGCCATCAGGCTCGGGCTGTAACTGCTGTAGCGCTTGTCCTTCTCCAGGTTGTTCATCCAGATAATGGCCATGCCCTCCTCAGTCTGGTCGGTCCAGTCAAACCGGGGAGGCTCGTCGTCAGCCTTGGACGAGGCCACGGCCGAGTGAGAGAGCAGATCAACAGCATTCCTACCCGACAAGCCCAGAGCCCGGACCTCGTTGATCAACTTCCGCTCCTTGCGAAGTACATCGACGAGACCAAAGGACTGGATCTGCCGATCGTGCAGCTGCATGCCGTTCATCCACAGCACGTTCTGGCCACTCTGGAGCAGTTGTAGGTGATTCGCGTAGTGCTCTGACCGGAACCCTTCAGAGACGTTGTGAGCGGCCACAGGGTTCGAGAACCTGGGGAAGTCCTGCGTGAGCTTCAGCAGCATCTCAAACGGCTTGTCGCTGTGCAGAATGAAATCGGCCGCCTTGAGGCCGAGCTCTTCAAGCTCCGAGGCCGACAGCGGCTTAAGGTCGCTTACGTCCTCGTCACCATCAAGCACGACCTCGGCAGCGACCTGGGATTTCTTTGCCGACGCGTCCTCGCTCTTGTCCTTTTCGGACCCCCTGTCGTCAATAACGATGTAGTCGGTCCTCTTCAGCGCCAGCTCGACACCATAGCCGCTCAGAGGTAGGGGCTCGGGCTCCTCGGTGGCCTTCGATATCCTCCGGTAGCGCAGTCGGTACGAAGGGCCGCCATTTCTGGCAGCGGTAGCCAGAATCTGGTGAACGGACCCAAAGGTCGGGGAGGTAATATCGGCATACAAGATGATGCCCGTATCATCGTTCCCCAGTCTCACGTCGAACGACACATCTCTCTCCAACAACCTGCCCGAGATCACAGCCACGGCCTGGGGCTTGTCCAACGAGCAGATAGCCTCGCCAGACTGTAGAGTCCACTCTGGGCAGTTGTCAACCTTGCCCTTAACCTTGGGCTCTACGGCGGTCCTGTAGTGCTGATAGTGAGCCTCGATGCGTGGCGCGGCCGAGCGCATGGACAAAGCCAACTTGAAGGTGGAGAGGGCATCGGGGCTTGTGATGTGGCCGTCATCCTGGACCAGCTGCAGGAACGTCTCATATAGCTCCTTGTCGCTAGCTGCCTTGGCAAAGTGGCCGCTGGCGATGCGGTCAAGGAGGGGAAAGTAGGCGGTCGAATTCTCCTGGGCAGCCGTTTCTCTGTGCCAGCCAGTTGTCAGCTAAAATCCACAGTCAGAGAGGAGCAGTCGAGCCACAAGCCTTCCTTACAGCAGCTCAAGGAGATATGGCGGCGAGGGGAAAGCAGCCTGCATGGAAACCTCGACCGAGGGTGCTCCAGCCGCTACAGGCAGCTGCAAGTGGAGCATAGCAGCCAGCATCGCGGCTGCAAGGCCCCGAGGGAGCCTCCAAAGCCGGAGCATGGCGGGCAGTTGATCTGGTTTCTTGGATGGGCGTTGTGTCACAGCTGCTGTTCCGCCTGCGGACGATAGGTGACAAGCGCCTCGAGCGATATGTACCGGTTCAAGTGCGAGGGGCCAAGGGTGCTGGGAGACTTTGTAGGTGGCCGCTTCCACTTCCGGCAGGCTCTCCAGGGCACGGACAGCCAGACATCAAACCAAGCACAGTTACCAAGTGCAGTTTACCCCTGCCAGCCACGTGGAACGGCAAGTTGAAGGACGGTCCGAGTGGGTGAAAAAAAGTCCAGACTACAGCATTGACAGCTCAGGGCAGTGTTTGGTCGAGCTCCATTGATGGCGGCCAGGCCAGCTGCTCGTATTGAAGGATGTGAACAGTTGGCCGCATCGCAATTGACTCCTGCAACCCCCAATTGAGCTGCAGGGATTCGAGCTCCGTCATTGCTGTGGCGGTGTGGCAGCCTGGATATGTGGCGCATCGACAGCGGGGAGCTTCCACAGCTTCACACTTTATGGTGGGGTTGACTAGCCCACCGCGGCGCCCCTGACACGAGCAGCCAGAACCACAAGCATGGGTGCCTGAGGCATGCACCACTTGAACCCACACTTCAGAGATGGCCACGCTTTCTGTCTAGCAATTCAGAGGCGGTGCCGTTGCGACTGCCAGCTGGAGGAACCTTACACAGGTGGCCTTTCTGATCCCCCTTATTGTGCGCCGCCTCTGCAACCGAGCAGTCGGCTTCTGCCAAACAACCACGCTGCCCTTTACCTCGCCCTGCCCTGCTCCGCCGCCGCCTGGTGCCGCCGACCTTGAGCCTCCCGTTGATGCACGAAGCTTAGGCTTCATCATCCCACCTCCACGATGGCCTCAACCGGCATGCTGACCAAGGTACCGATCACGCCCGCCCGGTGCTCCCCCCACCCGTCCAGTAGCTTACCGTCTGTGCCTCCAGTTCGAGTCCAAGTCCTCCCGCGCAAAGGGCATCGCCTTCCACCCCAAGAGGTTCGTCGCCGTCGCCGCCCCCGTCCCGGCCGAGCTGCCGCTCCCATGACCGCCATATGTCTCCCGGCCACTAACCCTCGTGTCCCCGGACCTGCAGGCCATGGATCCTGGTCGCGCTTCACTCCTCGACCATCCAGCTATGGGACTACCGCATGGGGACCCTAATTGATCGGTTCGAGGAGCACGACGGCCCCGTGCGCGGCATCGACTTCCACAAGACCCAGCCCCTCTTCGTCTCGGGCGGTGATGACTACAAGATCAAGGTCTGGTCATACCAGACAAGGCGGTGCCTGTTTACCCTTAATGGCCACCTCGACTACGTCCGCACAGTCTTCTTCCACCACGAGCTGCCATGGATCATCTCGGCCTCGGACGACCAGACCATCCGGATATGGAACTGGCAGAACAGGTCTTTGAGTGAGCCGACCAGCCTCCCGGCCTGTTTCTTGCAGGATCGCTTTGGAGAGAAGCTTGCGGAATACTAACCTTTCATACAGTTTGCACCATGACGGGCCATAACCACTACACGATGTGCGCGCAGTTCCACCCCAAGGACGACCTTGTTGTTTCGGCCTCGCTGGACCAGTCGGTCCGTGTCTGGGACATCTCCGGCCTGCGCAAGAAGCACTCGGCTCCGACCTCCATGTCCTTCGAGGACCAGATGGCGCGGAACAACCAGAACCAGACAGATATGTTCGGTAACACAGATGCCGTTGTCAAGTTTGTGCTTGAGGGCCATGATCGCGGTGTTAACTGGGTCGCGTTCCACCCCACCATGCCACTAATTGTTTCTGCCGGCGACGACCGTCTGGTCAAGCTTTGGCGCATGAGTGAGACCAAGGCCTGGGAGGTGGACACTTGCCGCGGGCACTTCCAGAACGCTACCGGCTGTCTGTTCCACCCGCACCAGGACCTCATCATCTCGGCCGGCGAGGACAAGACCATCAGGGTGTGGGACCTTAACAAGCGCACCGCTGTTCAGACCTTCAAGAGGGAAAGCGACCGCTTCTGGGTTGTTGCAGCCCACCCCGAGATCAACCTTTTCGCCGCTGGCCACGACAATGGCGTCATGGTCTTCAAGCTGGAGCGCGAGCGCCCAGCCTCGGCCGTCCACCAGAACTTCCTCTTTTATATCACCAAGGAGAAGCATGTGCGGTCCTACGACTTCCAAAAGAACGCAGAGAGCCCGACGTTGCTCTCGCTGAAGAAGGTCGGCCCGGCCTGGGTCCCCCCGCGCACTCTGTCTTACAACCCTGCCGAGAGGTCCATCCTAGTGACCTCGGCCGCCGATAGCGGCACCTACGAGCTCATCAATCTGCCCAGGGACGGCTCCGGCGGCATTGAGCCCACCGAGTCCAAGCGCGGCCAGGGCAGCTCGGCAATCTTTGTGGCGCGCAACCGATTCGCCGTCCTGCACACGGGCTCGCAGTCCATCGACATCAAGGACCTTTCCAACAACGTCACCAGGTCGTTCAAGCCCCCGCACGGCACCACCGACATCTACTTCGGCGGCCCCGGCAACCTTCTCATCATCACTCCAACCGCCGTCCACCTGTACGAGATCCAGCAGAAGAAGAGCATTGCGGAGCTCGCCGTCGGCGGTGTCAAGTACGTGGTGTGGTCCAACGACGGCATGTACGCTGCCCTGCTGAGCAAGCACAACGTGACCATCGTCACCAAGACCCTGGAGCAGGTCAGCACGCTGCACGAAACGATTAGGATCAAGAGCGCGACCTGGGACGATGCCGGAGTCCTCCTCTACTCGACCCTCAACCACATTAAATACACCCTGCTCAACGGCGACAACGGTATTGTGCGGACCCTGGACCAGACCGTCTACCTGGTCCGTGTCAAGGGCCGCAACGTTTACGTGCTGGACCGTACCGCGAAGCCCAAGATCCTGCAAATCGACCCGACCGAGTACAGGTTCAAGTTGTCGCTCGTCAAGCGCAACTACGAGGAGATGCTACACATCATCCAGAACTCCAGCCTGGTTGGCCAGTCCATCATCTCGTACCTGCAGAAGAAGGGCTACCCCGAAATCGCGCTGCAGTTCGTTCAGGACCCCACGACCCGATTCGAGCTGGCCATCGAGTGTGGCAACCTCGAGGTCGCAGTCGACATGGCCAAGCAACTGGACCGCCCCAAGCTGTGGACCAGGTTAAGCACCGAGGCGCTGGCGCACGGCAACCACCAGGTTGTCGAGATGTGCTACCAGAAGCTCAAGCAGTTCGACAAGCTCTCGTTCGTCTACCTGGCCACTGGTGAGGCGGCCAAGCTGGCGAGGATGGCCAAGATCGCCGAACACCGCGGAGACTTCACCTCGCGCTTCCAAAATGCCCTGTATCTGGGAGAGGTTGAGGACAGGATCCAGATGTTCAAGGAGATTGATCTTTGTAAGCCTCTCCTTGTTTATCATGTAGTTTGTTCCCTGTGATATATCTGCTAACGCTCTGTTAGACCCTCTCGCATACATGACGGCCAAGTCACATGGGCTTGACGAGGAGTGCGAAGCCATTCTGGAGGCTACTGGCTTGACAGAGGAGCAGATCACGCTCCCCCAGCTTGGAGAGACTCTGACGCCGCCAAAGGCTGTCGTCGCGACCCACAAGGCTAACTGGCCAACGAAAGCCACATCGCAATCCGTCTTTGAGAAGGCTCTATTGGGTCAGATGGAGGGTCTTTCGCTCGAGGATGAGAATGCGGCGGCCGCTAACGGACTGGGTGAGGACGATGGCGAGGAGGATGGAGCCAAGAAAAGCGGCGCATTGGCAGATGCTGAGGAAGATGAAGATGCAGCGGGCTGGGACATGGGCGACGATATCGTTCCGGAGGTCGACAGCGATTTTGTCGACGTGGAGAGCGCCGAAGCCGGAGGCGCTGCCAGCAGCGAGGCGGATCTATGGGCGCGCAACTCGCCCCTTGCGGTGGATCACGTGGCTGGAGGCTCGTTCGAGACGGCTATGCAGCTGCTCAACCGCCAGGTCGGTGCCGTCAACTTCGCACCTCTCAAGCCCAGGTTCTTGGAGGTGTACCAGGCATCAAAGACGTACCTGCCTGCGTCTGCTGGCCTGCCGGCACTGGTCAACTACGTGCGGAGGACACCCGATGAGACGGACCCCAGGAAGGTCCTGCCCATCATCCCCCGCGACCTCGAGTCGCTGGCGGCTGGCGATCTGCAGAAGGGATACAACACGATGAGGACCAATAAGCTCGAGGACGGCATCGTCATCTTCAAGGGCATCCTCCACGCGATTCTCGTCAACGCCGTGTCAAGCCAGAGCGAGACTGCCGAGGCCCAAAGGCTCATCACATCGGCAGCCGAGTATACGGTTGCCATGGACGTTGAGCTGTCAAGAAGGCAACTTGGGAGCCCTGACGCAGTGGCCAAGGACCCTGCCCTGCTGAAGAGGAACCTGGAGCTGTCGGCCTACTTTACGATACCCAAGATTGAGGTGCCCCACAGGCAGCTCGCGCTGCTCAACGCCATGAACCTGTCGGTCAGGGCCAAGAACTACAACTCTGCCCTTAGCTTCGCCAACAGGATACTGGCCAACGGTGGAGCCGGCAAGATCCTCGACACTGTAAGTCCCCACATTTGCTCTTTTTTTCTGCCGACTGGTGACGCAAGATACTGACGATATCTCTTTCAACCCCCCAGGCCAGGAAGACCAAGGCACAGTGCGAGCGGAATCCCAACGATGCCGTCGAGGTCGAGTTTGACCAGTTTGCCGAGTTCGAGATCTGCGCGGCCAGCCATACGCCCATCTACAGTGGGTCGGCATTCGAGGAGTGCGCCTTTGACGGATCCAAGTATCACCCCAAGTACAAGGGCACTGTCTGCAAGGTGTGCGAGGTCTGCGAGGTGGGCAAGCACGGTAGCGGGCTGAAGCTGTTCGCCTAATGAGACTACACGTCAGAGCAGCTTTTCTTTACGACGCTCGACGACGATGTGTAGTATTAGAGGAGGCGGCCACGTTTTGGTTTGTTGGGCTGGGTTGGAGGCTGGGTTGGCGACGAAACAAATCTGTCTGGCGCTCTCTGCCACCTATCGTTGTGTTGACCTATCGTTGTGTTGGGGGCGGTCGGGGAAAACAAAAGCAGATCACTGATTTTCTAGAAGGCTGGGTGGGGCCTGTCCTCGTTGTTCGGGTCTGGCCCACGGAGTAAGTGAAGTGGGCGGTTTAAAGTATGACTTATCTTGTTGAAAGCGTGACGATCAAATCTAGCACCATGTCTACACAAGATCGGCACTTTGACATGATGCGATGTCCGTGATAATGGCGTGTGCTTTCGGAAATGACCTGAAATAAGACATGTTCGCGGGGCTTCGTCTAATGTCTAAAAGAGGATGTATTACATATTGGAAGCAGACCCGATGTATTCTGCGCCCAAGGCTACGCTAAACCGGCAGCATGCACCACTCTGAGCTGCTGTGACATGTCACCACGGCAATTCCCCGGCCACGTTCAACTCGGTCGGTCACCTCCCCAAGCCAGGAACTTAGACGATGGTCTCGAGCTCGCGGGCGTAGCCGAGGGTGTTTTCGATAAACATCTGGCTGATGGGCTTCTCGGCCTGGCCGCCGTCGTCGGACGCGGAGCCGGCGGCGGCGGCGGCGGGGAAGTAGATGTGACCATCGCGGACGGACCAGCCGCGGCTGGCGGCGAAGTCGACGACGGCGCCCTCCGAGTCGAGGAACAGGAGCGACTTTGTCGACGAGATGGGCAGGGACGGGTAGGCGCGCTCGCTGGAGCTGGCGATCTCGGAGCGGATCTGGGAGGTGAGGATCTGTTGTCGGGGTGGGGGGGTTAGCGGTTTTGTGGTTGGATGTGTGGGAAAGAAGGACAGAAGAAGAACATAAGAAGAACAGAAGAAGAAAAGAAAAGAAAAACGTACCTCGGAAAAGACGCCGTACTCCTCACACGGCACCTCGCCCTTCTTCATGGCCTTCCAAACGCGGTCGTAGCTGCCCTCCATGAGCCAGCGCTCGAGGCGGATGGGGTAGCCGAGGTAGCGGTCGCCCTCGACGTCGACGGAGCCGCCGCCGCCCTCGCGGGCCGACAGGGCCTCGAGCTCCGAGTGGAACTCGTCGTACCGGCCCTGCGTCAGGAGCAGGAGCAGGTAGAGGCCCGTGACCTTTGAGCGCTCGGGCAGGTTGGGCGGCAGGCTCGAGGCGGGAAGCTCGTACAGGGGGCTGAGCTGGCGCACGTAGCGCACGAAGCCGTCGGCGTCGCGCGCGCGGATGCTGTACAGCGCGCCCTGCTCGTACGTCTCGCGCGCGAGCGCGAGCTGCGAGGCCGGCTGCGAGGTGGAGGGGGAGGCGCCGACGGCGGCGGCGGACGGGGTGGCGATGGTGGGCGTGAGGGCGCCGAGCTGCAGGAGGAGGAGCTTGGCCTTGGACAGGAGCTTGGCGGCGTCCGGGTAGGCGAGCTGCGCAGACCTGAGCTTGGTCAGGATCTGCTGGATTTGCTTTTCGGCCATGGGTGGTGGTCGTGTGGGTGGTGGGTGTGCGAGGTTTGGTGGGCGTGGGAGGGCCGTCAGAGGCGGTTTTGGCCCCAGCGAGGGCGGGAGGGTGCGATTCGGGGATGCTGTCAGCCCGGGCTGGGCGGTGGTGGGCTCACGGGTTGAGAAGAGAGGCAATGTGAGTGTGTTGTGGTTGTTGTCGGCCTTTTGCTTGTTGGTGCTGGAATAGATTGATACTGGAGGTGAATTCCCCTCGCCGCGGTGCCTTCAAACTGACGCCAGAGGTACGCAGCGGCACCTGCCTGGCCAATCCACCTGGAGCTCGGAACCCCTTTGCTGGTGTCACAAACTACCGATTATGTAATACCAACCACATCCCGGACGGCCTTCAACAGGAATGCAGAAAAAGAAAGACGAAGACAACAACAACTCAAAATACCCTCAAAACTAAAAAGACAAAACAGAGTCGAGAAATACAAACAACACAAAAACGCACCAACGCCGTCCCCTTACAAAACCACCCTGCCTGTCCCATCCCAGTCCCCCAATCACTTCTTCCCGGCCGCCGCCTCCATGACCGCCTCGGCCGTCGTGTCGAGAATGTCGGCCTCGCACATGAGCTCCACCCACGTGTGCACCATGGCCGTGAGGTCCGTCTCCCTTCCCTTTGCCGTTTCCTCGTCGCTCTGCGCCAGCGCCCGCTCGTCTCCGTAGTTGGCCTGGAGCTTCAGGTGCGCCTCGACCAGCTTTGCAGCGGCCTCTGCGGCTTCCTCTTGGGTCTTGTACGGCCCTGCATCTTCTCCCGCATTCTCATCATCATCGCCTGGAGCCTCGCCAGCCTTGCCCTCCCCGGCCCCCGCAGCAGCCGTAGCGACGTCCTCGGCCGTGAGGCCCATGTCGGCCAGCGCCGCGACGTACTCGGCATTGTCTGGGTCAGCCGCCCAACCCACCTCCTCGAGCTCCTTGACGCGCCACTCGTCGTGCGCCGCGACACTCTTGGAGAGCTCCACAATGGAGGCCACGTTGGCCGCCAGCTTCCGCTTCAGCTCGCCCCCCTCGTTATGGCAGAGCGCGATCAGGTTGGCCTGGTCGCCCAGCTCGTTGATCTTGTTTTGAACGAAGGGGATGACGGCACCGACCCAGTTGTCCCCGGCAGGGCCTGTTTTGCAGTGATGCCAAATGTTAGAAGGATGAAAACGGCAGCTTTGATGGAGGAGATGTCGCCTTACCCAGATCGATGGCCGCTTCCTCCAGGCCGTCCAGCTCCCACAGTCTCCCGCCCTGGTGGATGTAGGCGACGTAGTGCTTGGCCGAGTTGGGGTCGATGGCCGCCTTTCGCTTGCGCTTCTTGCTCTGCTTGGCCTTGGGCTTGGCCGCGCCCCTTCTTCTCTTATTTTGCCTCTGGTACGCATCGTACTGGTTCAAAAGACACAGGTCTTCGTCCAGCAGATCCAGGCGACTTTGAGAAAAATGACCCACAGTCAGAACCGCTATCTCAACTCCATGGGGTCTTGGAAGTGCATGATCGTGGCTTCTCAACTTACCGAGCAAAGGTGTCATGGATCTTGCGGATAAAGCGATTCTGCGCCAGGGCGGTTCCCCTGTGCGGAGGGATCAAGTCCGCCGTCTCGTCTTTGAACTTTTGTAGCTCGTCTCCCAGACTGATCCCCTCGGCGTTCATGAGGATGTTGAAGAGCGCAACGGAGGCGCAGGCGTTGGCGATGGTCTGGGCACACGGGCAGCATTAGATTCCGACATCTAGAACTGCCTAGGTCCGTAGTACTCACCTGGCGTGCAAACCACATGCCCTCGGGAGGGCTAACGGTCTCGTCGGCCTCCGGGGCATCATCGCACTCGAAGAGGAAGATGAAGCCGTGAATAGGTTGTCTGGGATCGCGCTATTAGCAACCGAAGTGGACAGATCCACCCACCATTTTCTCCTGGGCGCGGGCATAGCTTACTTGAGCAGCATCACCTCGCCCTCGTCAACAACGAGGACCTCTTCGCAGCGGACGCCCGAGACCCCAAGCTTGTGCAGGATGTGATTGAACAGCGCCTTGTTCGCAGAAAGTCAGCGAAGAGAAAAGAGAAGAGAAACAGTGTGGCATGTTGTCTGTTGCAAGTTGGCCATTTCGAGGACGGGCACTCACCGGATCCGACTCCAGCTCGGTCCAACCCTCATAGTCCTCGACTTCGTCAGGGTCGAGACTGAGGACTGCGTGGAGGCCGTCGTCATCTTGATCGGCGTCCTGGCCATCGTCGGCGGTGGCGCTGGCGGCCGCAGCCTCCCCGGCTCCATCAGCGACGGCATCATCGGCCTTTGCCACCGGAGAAGCCTTTGGGGAGGGAGACTTGGCGGCGGGGGATGCCTTTGCCGCAGGAGTTGCCTCTTTGACCAGGGTTGCCACTTTGGCCGGGGATGCCACTTTGGCCGGGGATGCCTCCTTGGCCGGGGTTGCCTTCCTGGCCGGGGTTGCCCTTTCGGCCGGGGTTGCCTTCTTGCCTCGGCCAGCCTTTTTGGTCGGGGTCTTTGGCTCGGTAGAAGCCGTCTTGCGCTGCCTCTTCGCCGGGGGCGACGCCTCCTTGGGGCTGCCGGCGTCGGAGCCCTGTCCGTAGCGCTGCACAGGCTTCCTCACGCGCGTCGAGCGACGTAGAGGGCTCGAGCTGTTGTCGGCACTAGCAGCCATTTCGTCGCTATCTGATTCTATTGATGGCCTGATCGGTGTCGTGGCAATGTCTTCTGGCGCCTGTTCTTCCGGCGGCCGTGTGGCGGCGCCAATATCAAGAGTGCCTGTGAAGGAAAGAAGTCAGGAGTAAGCTGGGGACGACCTTGTGGGCTAGCAGCGAGGGTTCGTAGCAGGTTTTGATATTCGCGGGCCGCCCTCATCCTACTCGATCTCCTTTATCAAGTCGACCGCTGCCATCGTGACGACAATGGATGGGGGTAGCAAGGAGTGCCGGTTGCAGCGACTGCAGCAACAAAGGTCTGCCGCGGCCGTTTTCAGGCACTACAGCGGCCACAGCGTGCCCAGATCTGACGCCAAGATGAGATGATGATCATGTTTACCTATTAAATGATGAGACGCCATGATGTATGGTGTCTGGATATCTGGATATCTTGGTATTCTCGTGGCTGGATTCTGCTAGGCAAAACATGCAATACGAGTGTGTGGAGGTGGCCAGGTGCAGGCTGGCGATAGAGATATCTGTGTTTTGGGTCATGGCCGTTTTCGGATGTGCATATTGCCCGATTTTTTTCTTCTTTTACATGGGGGGCGGTCAGCCTGGGCTGTTTTGGAGCCCCATCTTGAGCAGGACACACTTGGAATAGTCGAAGAGCCCAAACCATGGGACGCAAAGACAAAGGACCAGCGGGCCAAGGGCAACGACGGCAGGAGCCAACAGAGTCACAGCCAGCCTACGCACCTCGTTTGGCGCTGAAACCACGCGCAGATTCCTTGGAGCACTGTCTGCCTACTGTAGGTAAACAGACAAGCAGGCCGGCTTCTTTATTGTGCCAGGACGAGAAGCGAGGCGCGAGTTGGTGGCTGTGATGGCTCCATCAACAGCGTACAATAAACACAGACAATATAGGCTTGCCTCAATCCTATCCAGTACAAGGCCAAAGTCATTGTGGGGTGTGCTCTGGTGGGGTGTGCTCCGGTGGGGCCGACTGTTGGTCTCAATCCAATGAGGTCCGTAGCGCTGCATCCTTATTGCTCCACCCTGAGCAAAGAAACGCGCTCGTGGATTTTGCAGACGTGACGTGACGGCCAACGAGCTTCCAAAATCCAGGTGCACAGCCAGAAGCGGCAGCAAGTTCTGTCAGCGGTGGAGGGAACCAGACGACGACACGACAACCCACCGAAGCGAGCCGCGGCACCAGCAGCACCCGTGGCAGCCGCTTTTACGCATCTTCCCCCCCGGGAACCTACGCAGTTATCTGTCTCTCCTCTTGTTCCTGCCCACACCGGCTACCTGAGGCCATCTCCAAGGCCACAGGCCCTCCACTCATCCTCCTCCCCGACCTGCTTCCACGCCTCCTCTGCGCGTGCGAGCCCACACAGACGATGCGATGAGCGAAACCCCGCGAATAACAAAAGGGGGCTTCCCCCAAACACCCGCCGCATCCCGGAGCAGGCAGGGAGGCTCGCCCTCCCCCTCGGCCGAGCCCAAGCCTGCACGCCGAAGCCTACCCCTAGCTCCCCAGACCAACCCCGAGTCGACGGGGAGCGAGCCCCTAATACCCCTCACCATCCTCGATGCTCCGACGCAGCGCTACTATGCCTGCGGCATCTACATGCTGTTGTGGGCATGGAAGCTGTACGACTGGCTGCGCGTCGTCGACGACAACGCCGAGTCCTTCTGGCTGTTCCTCAAGTGGATCGCCATCGACCTCTGCATGCTCTTCGGCTTGCCCGAGCTCAGGATCCCGTGGCTGGAGCTTTCCCAGCCTGTTGTCATCGTGCTATTTTTCATCCATGCCGTACTGGACTGGATGCTCATGTTTAATATTCCGGTCCGTACCCGCCAGGGCTTGATCTATCTGCGTGCTTTTATGATGTGGTGTGCTGACGGTGCGATTCGACCACCAGATTCCAGCGCTCACCTGGCTCCTCGGGTTTGCCAAGGCATTTTTCGACAAGGAACTCTCCATCTCGGACCAATACGTCAAGTCATCAAGCATCCTACACAACCATTCCCTCATCCAGGGCAGGCAGATCATCAACATCCTCCCGGAGGGCTCTGCGCTCCTAAACCCCGAGGGCACACCCTTCTGCATTGGCGGCGACCGGACCACGGCTCTAATCCCTATCCAGTTCAACGCCACCATCCCCCACGAGGTCGAGCTGGTGCGATTTGACCTGTCCCTGGACCACGTCGAGGAGGAGGTCCTGAAGCTCTCGCGGTCCCAGCTCCGCGCCATTGAAAAGCAGGTCAAAAAGCTGTCTCCCGAGGGCGACGGGAGCGCCGTCACGTTCGAGTTCCCCGTCAAGAAGACGGGCGCTTACAAGCTGCGTCGCGTGCTGGACGAGTACAAGCTCGAGGTGCAGCGCCAGAGCCCCCATACCTTTGTTGTGCCCTGCCCCTCGGTCAGCATCGGCCTGTCGCCGTCGTCGGATAGATGCCTCAACGACTTGTCGGACCTCGCACTTAATGTCGACGGCACCCCGCCACTCAAAATCACGTACAGCCGTACCATTAACGGCAAGAACCATGGCTTCCACTTCCAGAGCCTCCAGCCCGATGGCTTTGCGTCCCCGCTGACGGGCACCACTTCGCCCTCGTCTAGCCTCTTGGCCACTGGGGACGAGGACGTGACGTGGGCGAGGTCGCAGCGCGTCACAGTGAGCCTCAACGAATCGCTGTGGGCTACCGGCGAGTGGCGGTACTCGGTCGACGAGGTTAAAGACGCCTTTGGCAACATCGTCAAGTATGCCTCACCAGCCGACGACCCGGAGCTCCCCTCCAAGGGTAAGACGCTTGTGCAGAGTTTCTCAGTCAAGGAGAGACCCAAGGTTCACCTCGCTCGGTGCGATATCCGGAACCCGCTCAAGGTGGCTCGCGGTGAAAAGGTGCAACTGCCCGTCGTCTACGAGGGCCAGCCGCAGCACGAGGACGACCGCCCGCACACGCTTACCTGGGAGTTTGCACCCATTGACAGTCTCACCAAAAACGGCGACCCTGGCGATGTTGCCATTCCCGGGTCGCACACGGGCAAGCGGGCCGGCGACCTACCTGTCGTCGTTGCCCCTGGCCTATACACCCTGAAGAGCGTCAGCGCGGGAACGTGCGAGGGCGAGGTCCGGGAGCCATCGACGTGTCTCTTGCTGAACCCGCTCGAGCCCGATCTCACCATCCGGTCACAGGAGATTCCCGACACGTGCGCCGGCAACTCTGTTGGTCTCGAGGTGGACCTCGACCTTGTGGGCACACCGCCGTTTAAGGTCCGGTACGAGGTGGTGACCAACGGCGTGAGGCGCCGTGAGAGCGTGACCATCCAGGGTCTCCGATACCAGATGAGGTTGATACCACGCCAGGCCGGGACGCACAAGTACACCTTCCTCTCCATCGACGACAAGTTGTACAAGAACCAGCCACTGGCCGGCCAGGGCATGACGCTAGAGCAGAGCGTGAAGCCCGCCGCCCAGGCCTCCATCGCCGGAGAAGCGACCGTCAATGCATGCCTGGAAGACCAGGTCGAAATCGATGTCAAGCTTTACAACGGCGACGCTCCCTTCACGCTCGAGTACGAGATCGTCCACGACGGCCGGCGAACTCCGTACAAGGTGACGCAGATCAATTCGGGCAAGTACACCATCAAAACGCCCGCCTTGTCAAAGGGTGGAGAATACACCGTGGCCCTCATGGGTGTCCAGGATAAGCGCGGCTGCCGAACTTCTCTGCAAGAGGAAGTCAAGATCGCGGTTCGGCGCCAGCGCCCGCGTGCAGCCTTTGGCGCGGTTGAAGGCCGCCGCAAGGCTCTCAACATCGAGACGCATGCCGCCAAGCACAAGCTCCCGCTCCGCCTCGCCGGCGTCGGCCCATGGACTGTGACGTACAAGAACCGCGACCTGGCTGGCTCGACGCCTGCCACAAGCACCATCCAGGGCAACAACGGCTTCCTGACGGTCCGCGAGCCTGGCATGTACGAGCTCCTCGAGGTTACCGACAGCCAGTGCCAGGGTACCGTCGATCCCAACGCTTCCACGTTTGAAGTTGACTGGCTTCCCCGACCTGTGCTCAGCCTCGTCGAGGCCGAGAGCATCAGCCCTGCCGGCGACAAGCTAGTCAAGAAGGATGTGTGTGAGGGGGACATTGACGGTTTCGAGATAAACCTCAAAGGTACGGCCCACGTTGTCGAACAGGATGGGATTTGCGCTAATGTTTTTACCCTGCAGGTGCGCCACCTTATCACGTCAAGTATGAAATTCGCCACAAGCCTGCGACTGGGTCCGCGTCCATGAGCCCGAAGGGGTTTGATGCCGCGCTGAGCAAGGCAGCCATAGCGATGGACACTAGCAAGCCTGGCCTCTACGCCTACACCTTCTCGTCCCTGGCCGACAGTCTCTACGATCTGGACGAAAAGCAGTTCACACCTGTTGTTCTGGAGCAGAGGGTCAACGCCAAACCCACGGCGACGTTCGACAAGCCTGGGCAGACGTTCAAGTTTTGCCTGTCGGAGCAGGAGTACGAGGAGAAGATACCGGTGACGCTTACGGGCGTGCCGCCCTTCTTCCTGGAGCTCGAGATCAAGCACCACAGCGGGACTGTGCCGCAGGTGCACCACGTCACGTCGATCCACACCAAGTCGTTTGGGGTGCAGATCCCACGCGAGCTGCTCCGGCTCGGGTCGCAGCAGGTGCGGATCCGCGAGGTGCGCGACGCGCAGGGCTGCCAGTCGCGCATGGACCCCACGGGCGCGGGCGGCAGCGGCAGCGGCAGCTCGGCGGTGAACGTGCAACTGTACGACGCTCCGGCCGTGTACCCGCTCGAGACGCGGACCGACTACTGCGTGGGCGAGCGCATCGCATACACGCTCAGCGGCACCCCGCCATTCAATGTCGAGTACACGTTCGAGGGCCAGCGCCGCGCCGCGCTATCCAAGACGACGAGCTTCCGGCGCGTGGCCGACTCGCCCGGCGAGTTCGCCATCACGGGCGTCAGCGACAAGGCGAGCGAGTGCAGGGCGGCCGTGGACCTGGTCAAGCGCGTGCACCCGATGCCGAGCGTGCGCATCAGCCGCGGCCGCAACGTGCGGGTCGACATACACGAGGGCGGCGAGGTGGACATTCTGTTCGAGTTTGGCGGCACGCCGCCGTTCGAGTTCACGTACACGCGCAGCACCAACGAAAAGCGCGGCCAGCGGCCGCAGGTGCTCGAGACGAGGCACGACGTCAGCCACGAACACAGCAAGGTGGTGCGAGCCAGCCAGGAGGGCACGTACGAGGTGGTGGCCATCAAGGACCGGTACTGCTCCTTCTCCACGCAGCAGATGGGGTCGCCCAAAGACGGTGCGGTCAAGAAGTTGATGCAGTATTAAGGGGGGGGCTGAGGGAGCAGGATGGAAGGAGGCAGGTAGCAAGCAAGTGGGAAAATAGACGGGGTATAGCAGCATCTTGATTTTCTTGTTTCACCTTCTTTTCTTGTCTACACTAGAATGCGTGGTCATCTTGGGTTGGGACTGTGAGGAAGTATTGTGTAGGCGGTGCGTATGTGCGGCGGTATGTGGCATCAAGCACGGCGTTCTTCCATGGGTCTCTACTTTCCTACTGTTTGTCTTTTTTTTTTCCGCTTTGGCTTCCTTGGAGGGATAATACCAAGTTCGATTTAAAGTCTCCGATATCCGCCATGTTGGAAACGGGCTTGCAGCAGACTACCTATGCCGACGGAACACCGGTGTAGGCAAGTTGGCCAATAATGTGCGGCTCCGCGGAGACGTGCAGGACAGGATGCAGAATGTGATCGACCCGTGGCGTTAGTTGGAGGTGCTCGTCGACACTCAACCGGGCAGTTTCCAGAACGGGCATGGACGGGGACGCCTTGGCTTTTGGGCCACAGTACATCAGTAGAAGTCGAGATTGTTCGATTCTTTCCCGTTGAGCTTACAGTTCAAAGTCCATTCCAGGACGAGAGCCGTGATCCAGAACCGGAAAGCAGGCCGAGTTTGGAGGGGTGCCTAGCCCTAGGGCACCTCTCTCCCCCTCATCCCAGCCATTGCCTTTGCATCCCCGCCCTCTGACTCAAAGTGATGAGATTCTCCAGAGCGGGAAGTGCAGGGAGGGAGGTGTGGTCGCCCCGCGCGCGCGCTGGTCCCCCTTCCTGGAGCTCCGTCGAGCTTGGGAAATGGTTGTCTCTGGGAAAGTGAGGGCTCGACGGGCATTGCGTTGAGGCTCTAGACCGCCAGCGGCTCTTTGGAAGCGAAGAGCGTGGTTCGTCTTGGCTTGGTGCATTCCCCTGGTGCCCTTCGCTCTCTCCCTCGTCGTGGAGGCGGCATGGCAGCCATATGGGATTCTGGCGCCATGGCCGACTAGCTTTCGGCCGCAAGCTAGGGGCAGAGGTTTAGGTAGGGGTTTGTCTCTGAGCTCGCTAAAACTGGGACATGCACAATGTCCATCAGCCTCCCTCCCCTTGCAACACCCCTCCCCCCACGCGAAGAGCAGGCAGCCAAGCCGGCAAACCTTGCCCCCAAAAAACCCACAGCTTCCTCCCTCCAA